GTTTTATTTGGGGGTATCAGAGTAGAGGGGGCTGAATACAAAAACACAAGTGTGGGGTTTTGCAGTCTTGAGCGTCTGTTCTGTCCATCTGCAGCTAGTGTTTGGTTCGTCTGATGTCTCTGTGAAGCCCTGTGCTGTGTTCATGTTGCATGTGCACACTTAACTTAGTCACTATGATGCCTGACATGAGCTCCTATGTTGTGGGAAGATCGGTAAATGATAGTTGGATGGGACTGTGCCCTTTTAGGGTCCTTTAGGATCAGGGTTGTGAACCCTTCAGTCAGCTATTCGGGTGACCCCCATCTTTTATCACTGTCAAGCTTTTCACTGCTGAGACTTTTTCTTGAATGTCTGCCACAGTGATGGATGCTGTGTTCTGCTTTGTGGTCTTCTCTCAGAAAGGATAGCCACTTAGCATCACTGATGTGTGATGCCTCTTTTCCCAGTACTGTTCAGTCTCCAGCCTTGATGGGTCTGCTCTGCTGTTATTACCCTGCCACCAAAGGTACGCTTTAGCTGGTTGAGTCGAGAAGAGCTGCTTTATTCACCTGGCTGCTCTTTCTCTTATGCATCTCTTTAGGTGGCTGGCCAAGGCAGTTCCCAGTGCTTCAGGTATGAGTCTCTGGCTGTGGCTCTTGGGTCCTGGTTTTCTCATCGTATCTTTCTGGATCGCTGACAGTTGGCTCACTTTTCTCCGTGCTTCTAACCTTCTTCTCATGTTGGGTATTGTTTCTCATGGTTGCTCATGTTCTTATATGAGTAACTGAAGTTTTAGGATTTAAAGTTTTTGAAAGCTGAGATCTTTATTTTTGCAAATACCTCAACAATTTCTTCTTCTATCACAAACATTCAGCTGTTTTATGAACACTCGTTAGGTGGCAGTGTGTCTCCAGTCAGACCTTTACTCGAAACCACTTCTGTGGTGAAGACTACAACAGAACCAGGAGGAGGATGGACTACGACACCGCCCATCTAATCACGACGTTTGCTGATTCTGTAGTTGATTCAGAAACACGGTGGTAAATGTGCTGCACGTGCATGAAGGGAGACAACTAAATATTATTCTGTTTTCTAGCTTTCTGACTAAATATCAGGAGATCCCATGATGCTCATCTTCTTCTTCAGCATTACTTTTACCACCATGCTGGTTTCAGGTAATGTCCTCCAAATAATTAGAACATTTTAAATATGTTAAATCTGCTTTACAGTCTGATACAAACTGTTGCTGAATTTCCTAACTTTAAGATGTTTTGAATTCCTTTTCCTGCAGACTCTTCTCCCAACGACCAAGTGCATCAGTCTCCACCAGAAATGTTCAACACATTAAACAGTGAAGCCGAAATTCAGTGTTTTCACAACAGTAGCTACAACACAATCCTCTGGTACAAACAGTCAAACAGAGACATGCAGCTCCTGGGATACATGTATGTAAGCTCTATAAATCTAGAGACAGGAGTGAATGTGAACATTGGAGGGAGCACAAATAAAGGAGAAAAGTGCACGTTGTTAATCAAAGAACTCAGCCTGAACAGCAGTGGAGTTTACTTCTGTGCTGCTAGTTAACACAGTGCTCCACAACACAGCTTCTCAATACAAAAACCTCCTGATTAAACTGTTTTCACTTTGTATGACAGCTCTCAGCCACTGCTGCACCTGCATGCTAACCAATGTTGGCTTTTCATCTGATTTAATCAAGGATCAGAATGGGAGGTTCTCATGTAGCGATGGCTTCAACCCTCCTTCCTTTGTTTTTAGATGGCAGCGAGCTTCACCAGCAGCATTTCAGCACCACCACATGATGGCCCTGATCCTCCTCACATGTGTGCTCCTGTCTTTGTGGCTTCGAGGTAGAAGAGCTTATGGAGAACGTGTTTTTCTTATGATTATATGATAAATGTTTCAGTTTAGACTGTTATGAGTCTTTCTCTTCCTGTGGAGCTAACATGAAGATGACACATTGCCTACAGCAGAGGTAACTTTACCTGCAAGCAGATAAATCATGTTAAACTTTGTGTTTTCCTCTAACAGGTCATTGCCAAGATGTGATTCAGATCCCTGAAGTCAGCTGGACTGATGTTACCAAGTCTGCTGAGATGAACTGCAGCCACAACAGAGATAAAAGCTACAACCAAATGTACTGGTACAGACAGCGTCCAGGGGAGACCATGACCCTGATCGTGTTCACGGTGTTTGGTGGGAAGCCCGACTACGGCCAGAGCTCTCAGAGCAAATACTCAGCAGTCAAAGACAGCATAGAGACCGGCGCTCTGACTGTGAAGAACGTGCAGCCTGATGACAGAGGGCTGTACTTCTGTGCTGTCAGTAAACACAGTGATGTGAGAAGAGGGAACAGCTGAACAAAAACCTGACTTCTAATTCATCTGTCTGATGCTTTTAATATTAAACTGGCTGATTTTATTCCAGTAGAGGGCGCTGGAGCTCCAGAAGGACTTTTGTCATATTTGGCAAGGTGGTTTGGTGGAGTTGTAGATGCTTTTATGTGTTCACTATGCCTGCAAATATGTACTTTTTGTTATTAGTAATTCATATTACGAATTCAGAAATCTGACATATTCCACTCATTTAAAATCCTTTTTTGAAGCTGTCTGAGTCCTGAAACACCTTTTTAGAAAATTCAGAGACAAAGTCCACAATCTCTTCTAACCAAGTCCTCTTATGCTTAACCTGTTTAACCCTAACGCCCCCCAATTGGGGGCCTCTACAGTGTCATGTCCCAAATATCTACAACTGTCCACATTCTCCAAACACAACTAAAACCACAATCAAACAGCCCAGATGGGAAACAAGGCAATTTTAAATAGTAATAAATTAAGATACAATGATATTTGAGCTTTATTTTAGAAGAGCATCTGGCCTTCACTGGTGTCTGCTGGCGAAAAAAACCTTGAACAAGTTTAGCTGAGGATCCCTGGAATAAATAAAACAATAGACTAAATTTTCTAAATGGAATTTGAACTCACAACCTCCATCCTGTCAGCACTTTCACACAGGGCAGCTCTTCTAAAACAAAGTTCAAGTATTATTTTATCCTAATGTATCAAAATCCAAAAATAGCTTTGTTTACAATCTAAACTGTTTTGATTGTAGCTGTGCTTGGGGAATGCAAACAATCACTGACACTTGGGACATGAAACTCCAAAGGCCCCCAATTGGGAGGTGCCAGGGGACAAAGAAAAAAGGCCTAGGGCCTAAAGGGTCCAATTAATCTTGTGATTTTCCCCTTAAAAACCAAGAATGATAACTTCTCCCGTGTGTCTCTCACAGGTACTCTCTCACTCCTTGTCTGAAAACTCAAACCTCTGCATCCTGCTTCTCAGTCTCAAATTGGCCGTTTGCTCTCAGTCGCCCGCCTGTTCACCTGCAGTCCCTCTCTTGTGCCTCTCACCCTTATAAAATCTTTTCTCCCGCTGGATAAACCCTGGTGCTAGGACTCCCCACCCCTCTAAACTCATTAAATCCACCACTAACTTCGTTCTGCTTTCAGATTCTCCTCTGAATCAGGAATCCTATTATATATTTTGTAAATGAACTTAGTTATCTTATCCCTTTGTCAGCTTGACTGATTCTGCATGAGGATCAGGAAATTTACTAAACCCTTTTCTACAGGTTCTCTACAAGTCCACCACTGATACTCAGCGCAAAAAAATCAATAAATTCTTCCATCAAATCTCAAAGCTTCATTCAGCTGTTTTATGAACACTCGTTAGGTGGCACTGTGTCTCCAGTCAGATCTCGACTCCAAACCACCTCTGTGGTGAGGACTACAGCAGAACCAGGAGGAGGATCGACTACGACACCGCCCATCTAATCGTGATGTTTGCTGGTTCTGTAGATGATTCAGAAACAAGGTGGTAAACGATCAATGTGCTGCTGGTGAAGAGAGACAGAGAGAATTATAAGATACCTTTCGTCAAACTTTTTGACAGGTCTATTGTTCTTTGACCTTTCTGACCTTTCAGTCCTATTGTTCATTTGACCCTTGACCTTGCCCCCCCTTCCTATCATTAATCAAATGGACAGGTGTATTGTTCAATCTTTGCCCCCCCTTCCGTATCATTAATCAAATGGACATGTGTATTGTTGATCGTCCAGATGGCCTAGACCCCCCACGCCGCATCATCAATGACGTATTGTTGAACGTCCAGATGTCCATGATTCCCCACGTCATAGGCTAATGTGTGTAATGGCGTGTGAAGTTTCTTATTGTGTTACCCATCGGTTCCCACAGCCCCCCTCCCTTCTGAGTGTAATCCTATTGTGTATAACTCTTTAAAAGCTCAGATCTGTCCGAATGGTGAAAAGCCGAGCTCTAAGAAAAAATGAGTTATATCTAACATGACATGGCTCACTGACAGTGGATGAGTGCGGCCTAACTGCTGTGAATGACAGCCCCACACGCTGGTCAAGTAATTATGAAATGGTTGTACGTCTCCTCAAAGTTAAAGAATCTGTTTGTGAAGTAGCAAACAAGATGGGATGGTCTGCTTGCTCTCGAGTGAGTGGCATAAGCTGAAGTCAATGCAAGAACTTTTGCAGCCTTTTGCTGAACACACACAAACTCTTCAGAGTGACACATTGTCTATGTCATTAATACTCTCTTTGATTTACTCAGCCATCTGGCATATGTTCACGTTGGATTTCGTATGTTCAGTCTTAAACTTTGTGTTTAAATGTGTTATTTACATGCAGCTCACTGACACTTTTTGACCAGAACTAAAACTATTGTGTAAAACTTTCTGTCTAGCAGCACCTCAAATAATGGATGAATCATCAGAGGCTGTAAACACACACACACACACACACACACACACACACACACACACACACACACACACACACACACACACACACACACACACACACACACTTACACACACATTTAAAGCACTTTCCCCTTTCAGAAAATGTCTGACTCTCTCTGTTACCAACTCTAAACACCATTCATACATTTCTCTCACTTCAGAAAAGCAATGGTTTGCCATCCTAAACCATTTATGGTTCTGTTGTAAACCACCCTGCATACTCAAGCCTATAAGAATAAAAGTTGATCCTTACCTCAGCGTGAGCTTTTAGTCGACAACTCACAAAGCAAATTACTCTGTATTGTTCTGCAGGTGGATTTGTTTGAAAGAGTGTCTGGAAGTTGGTTCAACAAAGATCTGTTGAGCTTTCTTAAAGCTCATTCTAAACAATTTTACACGGCCAGCGACTTCTGACAAAGCAAATGACTTCCTTTTTTTTTTGCAGGTGGCGGGGAAGTTTTAAAACAAAGATTTGGTTCATTCTAACCTAGTCGGTGTTGGTCCTTTCTTCTGTTAGACCAAGCACGGGTACGGAGAAGATGGAGTTAAACACCTTTTGAGTTGGTAGAATGAGGAGACAAATGATCAGAGGAGTCCAGTCACTGTTTCACCGCTCGAGAGGGGGAGAGCCCTTTTGCAGCAGGTCCCGCGACCTGCTCTTGCCAGCTGCTTTGGACAGACTCTCCGCCGTTCTACTGAAAACGGCTGATTTTTATTGAAGATTACAGGAATGTTACATACGCAGTTTGCCATGTACATACGTCATTGGTCATGACAGGTGAAAATAACAGCCTTGTTAGTGGACAGTTAATACATCACTAGAACATGCATCCTTGAGATTACTAGGAGCATCCTGATACATGAAGATACATTTCACCGGTACAGAGAGGAGCTGGAATGTGCTCGCTCCCTACAAGGTTGCAGAACAGAACATGCTGCTGTAAATCTTTGTGTAGAGGCCTTGACCATCTAAGCAAGTGTACATTTCATAGAGTAATACAACTGAGCTTTATAAGGTAAATATATAAAAGAAGCTTATAAGGTGGATACGTGAAGCTTATAAGGTAGATACGTATATTTTCAATCCCCCTTTTGAACTCTTTTAAGAGTTCAACAAAGATGTAGGAAATCAAAACAACAACAACACCAAATTTCATCAAAAAGAATATAATAAGCAGAGTTTTAAAACACAAATACAAACAACCAATCAGATTACATTTACTCATATTTCTAGCAGTAAACTAATACAAAAAACATGATCATACTTTCAACTGAACATGTTACAACATGTATGGAGCGCATGCACACCCGTATGAGGGCGAAAAACCCTAATTGTCGTACGTTAATAGGGAAAATTCCCCCATGTCCTCCCATTTTTCATATCACAATTTTGGGACGAACGCCTTTTGGCACAGAGTGGGCATGCCTAGGACATCAAAGATCAAAAAAGAAAAACAACAAAACAATCAAAAAACTCATAGAAATGAACTGGTGAAGGGATTGTTACATAAATCACTGAACATTCTCACACTCTAACAACATCTTCTTCATCATGAGAGTCATCACTATCATCAGAGGGTTCCCCTCCCAAATAGATGTTAGGATTGGCTAGTAACAAAGGCATCTGGATAATTGGGTCAGCAGGTGGAGGAGAGATGGCAATGGTAATCAATCTCTGGACTAAGTGCCTAAGACAGGGGATACAGCAACAGCCGCAAGTAACAAGAATGGCAGCGAAGACAGACATGGACACCAGGACGGAGGAAACGAGAGATTTGTATTTACCAAATACATCAAGCCAAGAGTCCCACATGGAGGTGTCTACACCAGAGTGGGATTTCATTTTTTCTGTCAAAGAGCGGAGGCCGTCTAAGGCCTTAGTTAAGCTACCGTCCGAGGCCGTATTGTTGGGGATAAAAACACAGCAATCGTGAGAAAACATGGCACACACGCCCCCTTTTTCAGCTAACAGCATGTCTACAGCAATTCTGTTTTGGAAAGCCATCAAGGAAGTAGCCGATAGTTGTTGGTGAACTGCCTCAAGAGCAGTACGAGTGTAATTACTTAAGAGTTGAACATTGAAATGGATGTAGTTAATGCGGTCGACATTTTTATTGGGAGTTATCCAGACAAAAATAGATTCCCATCCGGCGGCTATTTGGTCAACTAATTTGTATTCGTCTGGAACACCTCTGGGGACGCCAATTGCATCTATATAAGTGGGATTGTGAAATGCAGGTAAAGCTGGTAAAGATTGCTTTCGTCGGGTGCTAGAGTAAGAGCTGGAAATAGGGGCATCATGAAGGGTTACAGGAGTAACAGTGACAGGTAACAGTAAAGTAATAAGGGCACACAAACCTGAAGATTTCCTGGGAAAACCATTATAGAGCTGAGGTGCACCACACCACCACCATAGATTGGCACGCTTTTTGGGTTTGAATTGTGAAGAAACTGACACGGTTGTATTAACGCACCAATTTGTGGTGACATTCCCTAGAAAAGGACCGCCTCGTCCAATTAGATGAATACAACTGAAGTTATTAGGGGCCACAATGTTGGAAAAGAAGGGCGTACCAATGTCATCGCCTGGTTTTTGCTTTGGAAAGATTTGTCCAAACTTGGTACAATTGGAATTTAGGGAAGTTCCGTTCATCAAATGAAGGAAACATTCTGGAGGAATCGGAGGTGGTACAATACGGAGAGTAGGACGAGCTGAAAGGCAAACAAGACAATCCTGATCAGAAGCACTAGCTGCTTGTTCAGCCAGGAGTAACCAATTATTAGTGCTAGCGGAAATGCCGGTAACCGTCTGAAATGTCTCATCAACCGAAGGGTGTTTAGTCTCAATAGTTATCGCTGGAGAGGGTTTATTCACTTCAGCAATGTCAAGTAACACAGGAGAGGGGGGAGATTTACTTAGCCCGACAATATCAAAGACGGTAGAGGTAGGTGAAGTAATATTACGGACACAGAGGTGCACTGTCCAGTAGTAGCTCCCACTAATCCAAGGAGCAAGTACAAATAGGGTACATCCAAGGGAGTTTATTGGACTAATTATGAAAGTCAAAGGGCCTGTTTTAGATCCGCCTTGTTTTATCAATTTGATTCTGGTACGCCAAGTTGTAGCTACTCCTTTGGAGTAGGATGACCAATCATCGCCTGTTTCAGCAACAAGACTGCTCCACTTCCATTGAGAGTAAGATCCCCACGTTAAGTACCAAACATGCTCTTTCAGATCAGATGGCGTGTAATGACCATGTGCAGGGTTCGAGGGCAAAATGTCGTAGGGGAGTGTAACCGTGGTGGCTGTGGATAATGGGATACACAGAGTGATTGCTTGGGTTAAATAGAGAAAATCAGAGTTACAAGGAGGTGAGGGGGATGGAAGAGGTAGGGATCGCTTGTGCCGGTCAATAGGTGGTGGAGGATGGGCCGTTGGTGTTAGCGGGGTAGGCTTAGGGGATGAGGGTGGCAAGAGTGGTAAGGGGAGATCATTGCAGAGGAACAAAATAGCCAATGGGATACATAGCAGGATAACAGTGAGAAGTAGGATCAGGAGACGCTGCCTGCACGTGAGGATGGGAGGGAATGGCCAGGACATAATTAGGCTTATTCAGGAGTTAATTTAAGAAATTGTAAGGGTTATAGCTGCTGTAATCAGTGCCAGAGAACGCACTATATGCTAAAATTGCTATTGTTACCAAATCTTCTAGGTCAGTGAAATCGCGAAAGTATCTGTCGTTCCACAACCCCAACCTGCTGTCCCTGTATGCCAACCGGTTTAGTTTACTTGGATACCAGACTATTGGAAAGGATTCTCGTTGAATTATGTTACCCTCAGAATCTTCTTCCGGCCAGGACAAATGAGTGATCAGAATGTACATTAAGTTTGTAGAAATG